CGTAGTACTTGCAGCTATTCATGACGTGACATTTCTTTTAAATATAAAACAACAATCAAAACATATAATAATCTTTTTGTTTAAAATAATGTAATATCATAAATAAGATGATTTTTACCTATAGCTATACGACTTACAAGCAGTGTATACGAATCAATGAATATTGTCACTCAATACAATTTTAATTTTTGTATACACTTCATTATAATATGTTACTGTAAATCTAAAACAAAAATAACTTTGGTAGGGGAAGTAAGAACTATTTCCCCTCCCCCTTGCTATTTATATTTATGTGAGAGCCCTTGTTTGAAGTAGATATTCAAAAAACAATTTAAAATAAAACCATATTTTTTAACCTATATACCTACGACTTACAAGAAAAGTATACAAATCTACAAATTTTATCGCTTATACAATTTTAACTTTTTTTAATACTTTCTTAGTGGGTTATGTACAAAAAACCAAAATTATGGTAGGAAAATTTCTAAACATTAAATAATATGTATATAATATATTATAGCTATTATAGGTACTCATTACACTTCATATTAACATAATTAAATAATTTATTACAGAACTAATATACCAATAAATTTTATATCGAATCAAGTTAAGTACATATTCAAATAAAAAAAAACCATTATATATATCCTAGAAGTTAGCATTTCAAATTCTGAGCAGAGCAGTGCTATGTGTTTTTTATTTATTCTTTAAAAAAAAAAACTTTTGTCAATACCTTTTGGAACAGTGAAAATGCTTTGATTTCCAATTACGGTATTTTTATGGAAGGAATGGTAATCTTGTTAAAAATTAAGGTGGGAGAGTGAAAAGTGAAAAATTCGTAGTAAATTACTTAGTGATGGGGAAACCAAAAAAAAAATTAGGGAAAACAGTAATTTTTATTTGCTCATTTTTGTCTCGAAAAATTATAAACAATATTATGTATAAACTTGCATATTATTTTAGATTAAAACAGATAATTTAAAAATAACTAAAAGGATAACAATGATGAAACTGTAAAAAAACCAAATGGTTTGCCTATATAGGCGTATAATATTTTAATTGTTGGGCGTGGCTATGCGTGAAACCTTGTGGTCCCTAAACGGCTAATCCTAAAATAATAAATGCGGTTTGTTTTTAACAGTATAAATAATTATGGTACACTTTTTTGCGGTCGATGAGTTTCTTTTGTTCAACCTTTACATTTTGGGAATTTGAATTTCAGTAGGTACTCAAAACATTTTTTTTTTTAAATACACTTATAAAAGTAATAATAACTTTATTTCACCAACAATAACAATGATGATACAATAATTATTAAATATCAGTAAATGTATACGATTGGTCTACTCACCGAAGTTAGCAGAAATTAGATTCCCCTTATAAATCGTACAAAAAATAAGTGTAATATAATAGAAATGTGTTCATAAAATAGAAGTGTCAAAACATAATTAAAGTATAATGTCATATGGATAAATCGACGTTAAGTCCTCCACAAAACAAACTCCTATAGCTAACTGATTTAAAAAATAATGGTTCATAAGTATATTTGATCAAATTACCCATACACCTATCATATATCGAAACCAATATTGTATCAGTTGCAAAAACCATTTTAGTCACATAACAAACCCGATGACTAACTAACATTAAAATATAATATACAGGATTACAGTCAAATATTTTTTTTTCATGCTTTACGGAAGTTTTATTTATTTTTTATCCATAATTATAAAATCAAGTCACAATATGTCGAAAAATTTAAAATATTAATAATCATTATAATAATAAATTACATTTACAAACAATGTGCGGAAGAGTTCTTATCAACTTGTCTAGTTGACTATAAGTAACTACACTGTCTATAATATGAGTGTTATATTTTACATATTTTATGAATGTTAAGCATTTAAATACCCGGTTAAGCTATGTACTGTAATTATTATTGTTTACTAGATAATTGAGTGCATACTATTTGATTATATTTTATTTAACGTTATTAAATACCTTTATGAGTTTCTTAGCAAATCTTTAACATGTTAAAGTTATAATATGACATTTTATTCAATTTTAAATAGGTAACTTAATTTAATAAACATTAAAATTAAACTTTTTAAAATAAAGTGTTTGCATATTATGCACAAACTACCGATGCATATTCCAATTATGTTATATTATTATATTATGCTGACTGACGCCTATTGATACAATATTAATACATATATATATATTAATGATTTTGATAATCTAATATTACAGGCTGTATGACTAGTCATTATAATCATAATATTAATAATAATTTATTATGATAACTATCATGATAGTGATTAGCATCAAATGATCAATATGGTTCACAGTGTCACGCACTAATTTGTATGGCTCGTCAAAATTGGACAACACATCGTGACGTTCAGAAAATATTTTATACTTAGCCCATAAAACGAGTATATAATGTACCTACCTGTCCTACCTATATAATGTAGATAGGTACCACCTAATATGCACATAACATGCAATATAGTAGCATCAGAATTTATATCTACTGTATTTATAAGACTGCTGTAATAATATACGTATTTTGAAAAAAGCATAATAATAATAATATATTGCCAAATTGTTGAGCAGAGATCCGCAGGCAAAAGTTCGGATCTGCGGGAAAAAAACTGAAAAATGTAAAAAAAACACACCTCTTGTATTTACATTTTATATCTTCGGTAGGTACTATAGCTAGGTTCTTGATAATTTGCAGTAATTCGTAGGCAGAGAACCCTAAAACAGGTTTTTCAGTTAAATCGGTCCATTCACAAGGTTAAGAATTAAATTATACTAAAAAATACGCTTGAGACGATGAACGGTTACAGTTTGACTTCACTAGGTATAATAATATTCTGACGTACTTACCGTGTGTTTAAGTTAAAGTGTCTTCGACTGCAAAGTGCAGACTGCATTTATTGGACCAGTGACAATAAATATAGGTATTATTGAAAACCACTGTCGTTCCCCTGAACATCCAGTAAACACGATTTTGTTTCTATTTGAATAAAATGAATAAGCCATATAGACATGCCGAATTAAAATAAGGTTAAAATGTGTGTCAATTAGTTACGACCAAGAGAAAAAAAAACCATTTCATTTGATCAAAATAATATTGTGCTCGATGAAGGTTTTGATCCGTACAAGTTATCATTTGTTTTTTTGGAGTTATTTTTTCCAAAATTTTATACGAATGTCACAAATCGCCATAAAAATAACGAATGTTTGGTTAACAAGAAACAAAAATGACGAGGGTCATTGTTAAAAACCACACGTTTATATGTAAAAATGTAAAAAACCGCATGCATCATTGTTTGGTTAATGAACACACAATAGTCAATTATTTGTAGAGTTTTATCAATGTTGTAGAAAATACAATTTAACATACGTAGTCTAGTAATGGTATATAAATTATAAGTAATAATACACCTAAATTACAATGGGTTTTATTTTACCTATTAAGCTTGCATACTTACGAAATGGTTATGGTTAAATAATTATTATTCGTAATTCATTCAAAACATAAGAATATAATAAAACTACACGCCATTTATTTTACACAGGCATAAATATAATATTATTGTAATAATATATATTTTTTTTAAAACGGAAGTAAAATGAGCAGATTTAGGATGCTGAAATTATCAAAAAACTGTTAGTTAATTAGTACAATAATATTATAACATTTGTTATTAATTTACTATTATTACTAGATAATATTATAATAGACTGACTAATGACTATAAATCAGAAGATTACATTATTTCTGAACATTTCAGTTTTTTAATTGTGCGTGTTCATTAGATACTAGTGTTATATCTATACTATGTCTGTCGATCAAATCTAGTCCATGCAAGATTAAATATTTTATACCTCGAAAATATTTAATAAACTTATCACGTGTGATTTTTTTTTATAGCTGACTGTTAAAAATATATATATAATTGATCTCATAATAATATTATGTACACAATCGATTGCTTTTATAATATAACTACCTACTATATAGGCAGGATGGATCTAAGATTGCAAAAAAGTGGGGGGGAGGGGTACAAATATATATATAACTATATAAGTAATTTAGTAATAGGCATATGGTTAAAATTAATATTTAAAACTGCCAATCCCCTCAAACGTTCCTTTCACATACATAGTCGTCGATCTCGTATAACTTTTAATCGCCTCAGTGATAAAAATGTTTGTTTAGCACTATCTGTGATGACTGCACGTATAGTGACTAATATTTGAAATATTTTTTTAATTATGTAAAAAATGAATCGCAATGTTACAGAGTTTCAAGCACTATGTTTAGCTTAATAGTTTGTACCTTTTAATTCAAATTTTAAGTCTATTTTTTAACCATACCAATATTTACTATAATTATTATATCATTGATGCTTTATGGCATAACTCCACTGAGTTCTTCATTAAAATATCTTATTTAAGGTCAGATAAGAGATAAGAAAATATAGTTATTCTATACGATTCTGACATTCTATAAGGTTGGTTATTTTAATATTAGACCGTCCTTTTTGACAATCACATGAACGAAGCATATTTTCTTCACTAGCTAGAGCTATAATATCAGAAGTATTTTTTAATGTTTTTCAAAATCAAGAATGTCTCTCACATTTTCGATCATATACATAACATTTTTACACGTGAAAAAGCTTTAGACAGCTCCAACTTTGGACTTGGTAATATTAAGCTTAACAAAAAAAAAGAAATTAGCCATATTTTTCAAATATATTTAAAAAATGTAATATTATAAATTTAAGTTCCCCGACGTGGCTATTCTGACCCCTTAACCCTCATTCCCACTGTGCTCGCCCTTGTATACAAGGTGCTATTTTGTCATCACCTAAGTGCACTTATAATAAAGTAACATGACCATAGATAGTTTCAAAATAAAAGTAAAGTATAATTTTATAGTTCAACATTAATTGGTATTTAGCTGCATGGAATTGATATTCCTAAGTATGTAGCCGATGAAGTAAAACAATATAACAGTAACACAATCGTGGTTTTATGAAACTGCAGCTCATCATTAGAATAACGGCACACATATAGGCATACAATAAATAAACGTAAGTACTGCGTATATTATATTATAAACATAATATGCAAATATACAATTTATTATATATTAAAAATATATATACTATAATTAAAGTACAAAAATATGTAATCGTATTTGTATCATAATATAATATAAGAAGCGATTAAACCTCTACATTTGCTGCAGAAGGATGAGAAGACATGGCAAATATGGGCCGTGTGTAAAAAAAAACAATAATCTAAACTAATACATTTCTAACATAATATAATCATTGGCGTAATTTAATGGACGCCACAGAGAGAAAGATGGAGTGATAGAGATGGTCTCCAGGTGGTCAAAAAACAGAAGTAAAACGTAACGCATAAGTACTGTTGAACATCAAACGTAAGATTATACATTTTTAATTTGTTTTAATTATTAATCATATAATAAGAGTGTAGATCGAAGTGGTGGGCTAAAATGGTGAGCAACTACGTGGTTATATTGCAGGCGAGTTCGGGGCAACAGCGTATGGAAGGAGGTATTTAAGAGGTGACTAAAAAGTTTTTTTAAGTGAGTATTATCTTATATTGTTGAATGCTGAAGCTCTTTGCAAACTTAAGCTGATATTTAATATTTAATTTATATTTGTCTTGCGTTTTCAAGTGGTAAAATTGGTCATAAAAAACGGTCACCTCTGCCAATTTATAAGTTTACTACGCCGCTCCGCTGCCTAGACATCGGGATCTTACATTATAATCGCCGTCGTTATTACCTATACTATAAAGTTTATTATTGCTTGTCATCTGTGTAGTCATAGGAAACAGCGACCTGTTGCTGCTGCTGCTGGTGCTGACCGTATTCCGGTTCCGCGGCCACTTGTTGCACGTACTTATACGACGGCACGGCTATGTATTTGTACTGAACTGCCGGCTGTTCATACTCTTGCTGCTGGAATTGCTGCTGTAACTGTTGTTGCTGTTCCTGTTCCTGCTTGAACGAGTTCTGTTCGTATTTGAGCGCGTATTTCAACGAGTTGGTTGGCTCTTCCGCGGCTTCCGGTTCAGTGGTCACCGCCGGCGGTTGTACGTACTTATAAGTGGGTGACGCGGCGAGGTACTTGTAGCCCGACGTGGACGGCTCTTCGAATTTACCTGACTGTTGTAGAGCAACGGCCGACGGCAGTGATATGTACTTGTACGCCATCTGCGGTTGCGTCAGATACTCATGCTGCGTAAAAACAAACATTCAAAAATTAATAGTGTAAGTACACAAGTACAACACAACGTTATCTATATTTTTATTACGTAAATCATGTTTGTGAGCTAACACACCATGATGATAAGAAAAAATAAAAAATATCCCGGAAATTATTTCCCAAAACCTAAATAACCCCGGAAAAATATTTCAAAACCAAAATATCACCTGTAAATATGAATTCAAAGCTTCAATTTCTATTACATAAGAGTTTTGATTATAAATACAATAAATACTTACATTGTTTTATCAATCAAATACAAGATACCGAATTATACAATAATAACAAATATACTCGTATAATAATATATATATATATATATATATATAACATAATACTACATAACACTTACACTAATAGTAATAGAAGTTCACTTTGGTGACTTATTTTTATTCTGAGAGGAATGAACCATAATGTTGTAGTGATATTGTGGGTCGATTTTCAACTTCAAAGGTTGTTTCTTCATTTTGGTAGAAAATTATATGTATTTGGTATAATTGATTATGACTATTTCAATATAATTGAAAAAAACTAAGGAAAATCGTGAATTTTTAGGATATAACAGATACTTGTGATGATATAAATTTTGTTTTTTTTTTTTTACTCCAAAATTAATATGTACTAGACTTGGTATAGTTTTCAAAAAAATATATTAAACATCTTTTTAATGTATTACTTATAAATACACGAAATGTTTTAGTTTTTTTCTCGATTTATGTGTAATCACATGTTTGTTTGTGAGTAAAAAACCTTGACCATTTACCTAATACAAGGCCCCAGTAAGTTTGATATGAGTCATGGTTTTAAATGAAAGAAGAAAACATAATATTTTTAATTACTCATAATTAAATTCGCTGGTTAATTATTATTATGAATATCAAATATATCTATAATTTAACTGTCGACAAGTTTCAAAAAATAATAACTTTTCATATAAATACTAATGTTCTTCGAGTATTACTGCGTATTAGATATCCCGGAGCTCTAAATCGAAAGTTATGATCCAGTCAACGATATTGTGTATTACTATATTATAATGTTTTATCACAGATCGAGAAATAATTTTATTGACATATTTTGTACGCAATCGTCCACATAACCGGTTAGTTTGACGAACCTATTATAATTTAAATTATAAAGTCTAGAGAGGTGTTGAATGGGAAGTCATTAGCTAAAGAAATAATTGCTCGCTGACAACAATGAAATCGAATCGAAATGTGTACTCTTTAACAATAAACACATTACATATTACACATATACGCTCGTCACTGTCACAATATTATGATAGCACGCTATATATGTATAGCTGTCCCACTGTGTTGGACACGGTCAAAAGGTTTTTTTTGAATTTAATTTTTACAAATTATTATTGTCGAGTTTCTACATTTATTTTAAGTTAAAAAATATCATTCAGTTTAATGTTGTTCAACACATGCAGAAGTGCACAACCCAATGACAATGTTTAATTTATAAATTGAAATATTTTTAGAGTAAAATATCATTCTGTACCTACTTCAAATGTCGAAATGGCATAGAAATAATTTTATTTTTAAGTCAAAATTTCCTTACAATATAAAAAAGAATAACGCGAACAAAGCGAATAAAGCGAATAAACTATGATTATCAAACAAATAATTTGCTACAATCTGACTTCAAAAGATCTTTTCCACTGTACCTAAAGCGTAAGTAATTATCATTGGTACATGACATACGTCATACATCACAAATCACAATATTTGAGTACGTCATATAAAGGCGTATATGAATTGAGTACTAAGTCAGGCTAATGTATCTTTTTGAACTAATTGCGTCCTACAGTTAATATATTTATAAGCAGATCCTAAAGTAATACCTATTGCCAAGTAAAATTTGTATTTTATAAATAATATACAGCTTAATGTATTTTTTAAATTAAACATACTAATTACTAATACTCACAATTTGAGGGACTGATAAGAGTGATACGCAATTCTTGTGTATAGGTTTATTATAATATATCTTACCCACAGATTCAACACTATTTAGTTGTATTATATAAGAGAACTTTAACGCCCACGGAAATACTGTCAAACCTATTTCTTTGTTACTGTTGTAGGTACCTACTCGTCGAATAGTTATACAAATCCAATACGTTATTAATATAATATTAGCACCTTGAACAAATATTTCTGCCTATCTACAGTTTGATCGTATTTATGTATTTGTAGTTATTCGAAATAATAATCATCAGATGCTTTGAAACTAGGCATAATCATACTATACATCGCTCAGGTTAATGTTAAAGATACTGAGAATTCATCACCAAGATTATCATAAAAAATAGATGAGCTCAAAAAAATTAGACGAATCAGCTGGATCGGATATTCATAGAATTTAAGTCCCGACTAGATGCATTGTATGTATAACCAAGAAAAGCGTGGATACCACATAGAACGGTAATAAGAGTATCTACCTATCATTAAATACATTTGATATATTTGATATATTATTATTTTAATTATTAATATATCATATTATACTGATGATATTACTCTGAACCTAAAAACTAAAAACATATAAGCATTTGAAATTGGACGATAAATCGTTTTTAATAACTGTGTATAATACAAACATAATAATAATAATATAAAATGTTATGCTCCCACGTCGGCGCCGGCGTGTAAATATAATATAATAATAATATTATTAACTACAATCGAGTTCGATTACCGAACCTCCGAGGCTATAATATGCATATATAAATATACACAGGGGAACCTCACTGGCCGCCCGCTTTGTCGAACTTGGAAAGTGAACGAGTCAGAAAAAAACAATCGTAACGCGGTGGCGATGGCGAGTTTAACGACTTCGCGTCTCGTCGGGCCGCCGAACTTACGCAACTCACAGGAGAAAGGCGTCCGTTCCGTGCACTAGAATATATACATGGGCGACGTATATTGTATTTATTAAATGTGTGTGTGTGTGTGTGTGTTTGTAGGTATGGATGAAATATATATACATGCATATAGGTATCAGCGTGCGGCGGATATACACGAGTCGTATATAGCTATAGACTTCCTACTTCGTAAACACACACGCCGATGGGGTTCTACGGCCGCTGTTTATAGAGAGGACTTAATAATTATCATTATAATATTATATATATATATATTTTATAAGCATTACAAAATCGCATCGAATTTATGATACTATATACCTACATATACATATTTTATAATATCAACATGTTATGTATTATGCCGAGAATTGTAATATTTATACATTACCGTCTATTGTCTAATGTAAAATATAAACTATTCGTACTCGTGCGTCTCGAAATATCGTAGTTACCCAAAGTCCTATAATACATAATAGGTATTATATATAATACAATTATTGTAATCGAATAACAATTTAATATTTAAGTCGACGAACAGGTTAGCTACTTAGGTTATATAATAATCTTATGCCTCCTCATTTCGTGGAAATATGTCGTGTATTTAAATATATTTTTGTTTTATCTTATGCTTTAGTTGATGATCCTGTCCCGCATTGTCCATGATAGTTGCCTGACATTCGTTAAATGTAAGCTACGCATATTTTTAACACAGCCATTTGGGTGGTTTTGACCAAGTATAAAATATAGGTCTAAAATTATATCCAAATATAATAACTATTTTATATTCCATAACCAGCAGTAACTCAATACAAAAAAAAAATTAATTTTTCATGAACCAACAAATCTTAGCAGTGCTAATTTTTAAAATGCAAAATTTTAAAATTCACCTCGAGGTGCACACACTCGAGTTTATAGAAATACTCATGAACCAAATTTCAAAACAATAAGTGCGATAGACTTGATAATGGATCGTTTACACGCACACCAGGTACAAACATTCCCTTTTATTGATAATATAGAGGATTGGTAGAGAAGTATATTGTCAATAATAGGTACTCACTTTGTACGGTGTTGCGTACTTCGTGGGCGCAGCTGGCGGGTGTTGCACTTTGACATGCGTCGTCGATATGGTGGCGTAGGACGTGGCTGGTGGTAGACCATGGTGATGTTCGTGGTGGTGTCCATCATAGTGGTCATCCTCTTGATAGACTGGAGAGGCGGCTGACGATTGCACGTATAGGACGTACACGGCCAAAAATACCTGTGGACCGCAAAACGTATTATAATACTATTATAGCCAGCACGTAACGACATTTATGGTATATACAGCGTAGCGTCGGGGCAACTTTTAGTGTGGTTGGTTGGATAACGACTAGTTGGTTGAGCTTTGGTGAACGGGTGGTATGTTTACGTGAAATGCAATGTTGGGTAGTGGTAGTGATATGAGTATAAATGATTGTTATGACGAAATTACTTTTTTGCTAACAAAACATTGATTTAATTTTATAGGTTGGTACCTACACACACCTACCTAGTCTATTTAAACCTAACTTTAAAGTACCATAATTGAGTCTGTTCAAAATCGATCTACTAAACACTGATAAAAAGCTACGAGTTGTGATAAATCCTGAAATATTACGTCCAAGCACCTATTATATTAATATGTTTGGCCTTAAATGTTGCAAAACGTTATTGTTAATGTATTTTAGTATTTATCCACCAGATATACTTCAGCCGATTAGTTAACCCAACTCAGCCCAATCCAATATACTTGTCGGGAAGCAGTCAATTTTCAAATTATGTTATTTCGCTGGCATCCGGCACCGAAATGCTATACATCCCAGTTGATGAGTATTTAACTGGTTTTTCAGTGGTGAGGGACTACTGGGATTTTTTAAGTTAGAAACACGTGCATATATGAATGGTGATATATATTATACACATAGTTAATACAGTTCGTAATAATCGTGAGTAATTGAGTGAATAAGTATAAAATATAATTTCGTGATGATACAGAAGAATTTAATGAGCTATTCAACAGTAAATATAACACAAGTCGAGTCTTGATAACTCAAAAACCTCGATAAGACGATTTTTTTCTTGCTCCTTGAAGTATTTTTAGGATGTGCTTAAGGCTCGAAAAATACATAGTTAAGTTCAATTTATTTTTATTCCCCTTGAGTTTCGAGCTATCGAGACTCGACTGTATACACAGGAATATACCAAATGATACTTCAGTCGTTGAATTAGTTGCGTTTGAACAGCAACGGGTTCGAATCAGTTTGCTCTGAATGTATAAATACCTAGGTATTTATAGCTGCTACCGGAGATCACACGAAACCCGCCACCTCTACTCCAATAATAATTACCTATACTACCAGTAAATCTATACCACTTGCGATCTATATCGTCCGGCCAAATCTCTCGTACTCACCAAGTGTCTTGTGCCGACCATGTTTATGGTCGTGGAGTTGTATGTCTGTCTATGTGTAAATTTATGTCACCACCGGTGATCAGCGATCGCCTTGAGGGTATTCTCGGTGCAGCTGCAGTCGTGTGTGTACCGCGATATCGGTGGAGTTGACGACGACAGAAACTACGCGATCCGTGCGGGTTTTGTGTGCGTGCGCGAAGAGATCGGGTATAAGTGCGCCGGTGAGAGGTGAAGTTTTGACGCCGGAACAGCGTCGGCCCGCGGTTTTTATACGCGGGGACCGAACGGCGGTCGGTCGACGCTTCCCCCGGTTCGCAGCCGACACCACGACCGCGGTTACGTCACGGCGGTGAGATAACTTCAGGATGCACGACCGCCAACGGTATAGCTGGTACACGACGCCGCCGCCGCCCGCCGGACCCGGCAGTGATACCGTGTTATGTTTCCTTCCACTCGAAGGGGGCATAATCGTGAACTTGAGAGCAGCGGACGTCGCCGTCATTTGCTGATCGTTTCACCCGACCGGCTGGTGACCTAGAACAACTGCTCTGTTACGCAATACCCATATATACCGTCAGTCGTCGAGTCTTGGAGAACCGATCGGTTTTCGTCATCATCATCATCTTTTGCTCGGTCCACACGCACCCCACACGATAGAAGTCACGAGATTATTGTTTAGATCTCCGTATAATATATTATACGTTATGATGTTATCTTCTCGACAGTTATTATATTATTATTATGATATGGCGTTAGTTATCTAACCATGGTATAATATTATATTGCTCATTTTTCAGTGATCTCGTGCACCTCGGTTGGATATTGAAAATATCAAAATGGATAGTTAAACAGTACCCAAATTTATAATATTCTCGAGGAACGAGTACAGGACGAAAGGGCGACCCGTTAAAAGGGAGCAATTAAAAAAATTAAATTCATTTTGGATTTATCTCGGGGACCTGTTTTGACCAAATAATATTGAGTAGTATTCTCGTCATTATATAATCGAACTCACGATGACAACGATTTTAATTTATAATACTTCGAACCATCAATGGATACCGATCTTATTATTACTTGAGTGCATAATATTTTATATTTATTTCGGATATTATAAGCTATGATCTTGAAAAAAATTATTCATATTTTTTAACTATTTAACTAGTTTAGATTCGTATGACAATTAATAATATTATATAATCGTGAACATATTTTTTATGTATACTTTCTTTTAAACACACGCATACAATTTAATGAATACAAATATTGTTTTATGAATAAGATAAATTGTATATAAAACAAAATGCGTTATGGGATTATTTAGGGGCTTAGGGTGCATGTCTTTAAGACAGACACAGTTGCGTTAGAATCGTAGCCAAACATCTTTTTGGTGTTCTTCATAATATTACTGACATCGTTCATATTTTCCTGGGAAATATTTGGCTTTTGATTATTGGGTCCGAAGTGACAAAAAACCGTTAAAGTTACCGTAATTGCACAACCACTAAGACTTCACTATGTAATACACGCATTAGGAATATAAGAGGAGTAAACGGTACAGAGACCGAAATTCGTGTAGTCGGAACTAACGCACTAACACTATACAGATTACAGATAAACACTTGATAACGTAAAAAAATGGGGAAAACGCTGTGTGATCGAGAATCAGATGGTGAACACGAGCATTTAGAAAACGGCAAAGTTTATAAAATTGGAGATATTTGATTGTCGTTAGTATATACCTACTGCAAACAACATGGTCAGTGGTATCCTAGTCTATGGTTACTGCTTTAGTTAAGTTTTAGAACACTGTTGAATTTCGTAAGATATGACATTTTGGCACTGGCTTTCATTACTCGTGGGTGTGAAAATGTCACGGTGAAGTTCTATAAGCCTATCGTTCTCCGTATGTAGGCATCCAGGGTAAGTTCTGCCGTGACTACTGCAGTACTGCTGTCCATCATATTTATTATACATGAACATGATTATGCAATATTCTCGCAGTGTGCGGGTAACCACGATATATACCAATGGTCATCATTCTTACAAAAATTGTCGCTTCAAGACCAAATTGTTTTTTTGTAGCCTTTCGTAAATATAAACTAAGCTACACTGGAACTAATGGACACTTTCAGATAACAGATGGTTTTTTTGGGCGACAAACTACATACTCTCTACTAAAATTGAAATCCTCTGAATAGCATTCACCTCCAGATAGCAGATACAAATATACAATTTCAGAGATCAGTAGTGTGTCCGGTATTTAGATGTTCCACAGTATATTATATTGGGGCAGTTTGACGAAGTTCAAGATCTGAATTCTAACCTATAGGCTATAACTAACTGTTTTCATGTTGTTTTCATGAGCTTTTATAAATTAATATGACTGATATGTAGTACAGCAAAATTTCAATGAGATGAGCCTAGAAAAAGCCATAATATCATCTTCGGCTCAACGAAACGTGTTTGTTAGGATAACATGTCGGGTTAGTTATATGGAGGTGGGGTGTATATGATATTATTATGACAATTACATACGCATCAGCCATCAATCATGCTTTTTTTAAACTAATCTGTATCGCTGTTAATAACTAATTGCTTATAAATGTATAATGTATTAATTATTAATGTATATATATCTGGTATATCGCATACAGTATACATTTTATAGGTTTGGAAAATACAACAGTATAAAACATTTACTAAAATAGTCACTTGATGAATCAAATATATTATGTTTTATAGTATATCGTTCCTTTGTATAGGCCACACTTAAAGATATAAAATATATATGTATATAATTTTATCTGAATACCGTAACTATATTAATATTATTATGCCCGACGACGGTATTATCACCTGGGGATGCAAAATCGGTGGACGAGAAACAAAGCCACCCCGAATATCGTATGTTTGTTCTTTAGATATTATAATATGCTTTGGTATAGAGTAGCACCGATTAGTATAATAAGAGCAATACAATTAACAATTTTATTAGTTTAATCAGTGGATGAATAATTGGTCCAAACAGGTTGCATTTCAATATGCGGTTCAAATTTCAATTACTCAACTGGTTCAAACGTGATTTGCCACTTTTATAACACATACCTATATACTTTAATGTTGTTTAAGACACAATTTAATTTGTTCCATTATCCACACAAATTAATAAACGTAATAAAGTAATTAGGTTTATCGCCAGCAATAAAAGTGAACGATATGATATAGATCATAGAATAATTTTTTGAATCCAAGTCAAACGTTTTTAAATTTTGTAGATTTGTACCAATTATTATAACAAATCGTAAACAATTAATCGAAATCATAATTTTAATCACCTTAAAAAAGTTGTATTACATTTTTTTTGCGTGAAAACCAAAACTAATTTATAGAAATGATTGTAAATAACATCGTTGGAAATTCAGTTTTATCAAAAATTAAAAACACAAAACTAACCAGGCCTAACCATAGAGATAGAAAAAGTTATATTATTTTCGTTGTTACCTGTCCTATATAACTTATGAACTATGGTTACATAAAATTACCCATAACGTGTTTGAAAGATTTCGATACAATAACAGCAATACGCTTTTTTCAACCTATATTCGCTCAGAATCTTTGATTTTTGTAATGAATAATGATTACTCTTCACTTTGAAATAGTTGAATTTCTCAACACATCGACCTAGGTGGACTAAGTAAAATGAATGTTTTTATGTTCTACATCCGGTTTCAGTTAAGTTTAATAGCTTATTTTTTCTGTAATATTTTAAAAGCATATTTTTTAAATTTAATTTTTGATTAAACAGCTAATGGCTTACCTACCGCATTGTTGGACGATAAAGGTATCTATTCGAAAATGTGATAATATTATAATTGTATCAGATGCTTGTCGGTACACTTTGAAGTGAGAAAACATTTTATAATGTATTTTTAAAACTAAGTAACACATAATATTATGACACACTTGCGCTCGTAGTATATTGATGAGTTGATTTATTTCAAGTGGAAAGTGTATTTCGCTTTATAAAGATCTGTAGCTACTGATTCATAATAATATGTAAAACCACATTGAAATCAGATGAATAGTTCCTGTTATATTTTTCAACCTACTTTCCAATTCTATTCCATATTGTATAATACACAATAAACTAATGTAACATCGCTTCCATAATATAAATAAGCTATTATATACCTAACTAAATGTTCATATACGTACGTCATCGTTAATAAAATAATCTTGTTTTGGATAATATTTTAATCTATCTGACGTATGAAAAAAAGGACTAATAATTTTGTCCTTCGATGGTAATCGATTTATAATCATCTTGGAACTTGTATGCTAATAACAATATTTTTTGTTTTGTTGTTATAAAAAAAGCATATAAAATAAATTATATAACAATTTAAAAACAAAAATTTAAAATTATTATTTAACTCTTATTTTGAATTATATATTTAAACTGTATGTAGATTCTATTATCAGAAAGTTATTTTACACAAATTACAATACGTCATATTATTATTAAATCAGCTGCCTGGGTTGTTTATATAATATTACAATATTATTGTCCGATGATAACGATCATTGTTAAAACAACATTATGTTACTCTTGTGTTGACAAATTAGCTGGCATAAAAGATACCTACTTACAGTAAAATATAAATAAAACATTTTATTACATAAATACCATATTCATACCTTAGATTCATGATTTAAATTTGCTCGAAAAAGATTATTTTTGGATTCTGGCCAAAGCTAGGAATGTAAATGGTTTTAAATTAACAGCAAAATAATGCTCTAGAAGTTCTATGTGACCTAGATTTGATCTACCTACTATAAGTAAGTACTGTAGATAGGTACACATAAAGTGGCAGGATTACAATAGGATTAGAAGGGCTTAAAAACGATGACATACACCAAATTATTAAGGTACTTATTAAGTATGTTAAATTATCATATTCATACAATTCCTGTCATTGCAGTTTATTAAAATGTGTGTGATCTATTACTATAATAATGTGCATATTTTTTGGTCAGTTTTTTGCTTTATTTTTCATGATTCCTTGTAAAGTAGGTCTCTATAGTTTCCAATTTTTTATTGGACTCAGTATCTCGCTATAGTTATTGTCACTAATAACGATTATCCATATAGCTATTATACTTAAATTAATTTATTATCATTATCAATCACTATTAAACAGGCATTACGATAATATATCGTCTTTACGTGTTGACAATGTTGACACTTCACAACT